GTGTTGCTAGTATGCTGTATGTTCAGTACAGCATTATGTCGAAATATGATAATAATGCATAAAATAGTCATGCATCAAAAGTGCATCAACTATAGGCTCGCTTACTGGCATGGCAATAATCAGTTTTGTCTCAGCCAATACATCACGCTTGTTTTTCCATTAACGTGTAAAGTATACATGTAATCAACATGTTTGTATTTCCCTGTATTGCGCAGAGCCTTTGCCCCTTGAAATTAGAATTTTGGTTCATTACACACTACTTAATTATCTTCTGTGATTTAATGTGTTGCCTTGACACTTATCAGACTATGTACATTATACATAGTCAATGTCCCTATTTGCTCTATTGCTTTGACATCAACACGGATCCCACCCATATGGATTCATATGATCATAAGCTGTACCCATTACATGACTTGACCTGTTGGATCACACACTTCATTTTTCATCCAGCGCCTGTATTTTTCATGCATTTTTACAGTAGGAGTGCTGATTTGGGATCACAGTTTTGGCTTTTACATGGACAAGTGGGAGCTGATCCTAGATCAGCATTCCTACCTTGAGACACTTAATACAAAACAGTAGGGTCTATATGTATAATCTAGATATGGCTATGATATTGCATATATATTAAAGCTTTATTTGTGTAGAATATTCACCAGCTGCTTTTCTTGTCTGTGGGGGTGCTCCAGGATTTTGACCTTGCAGCAGTGTACCTGTCAGACGCCCAGTATAACAGGAACATATTTTTTGACACAACACCTCAAGCTATAAGGTAGGTAGAGATGGTTATGTTTAATGATGTTAGGTTATAGTTGTTGCCAGAGCATTCAACTTGTTGAATACATCCAAATAGACAGAGCATGTATTAGAATAAATAAAAATAGATAGAATCTTGTCACTTGTAGCTTAAGGATAGCAGTAGAGGTAGTCCTGCAATCATAGGCCGTGTTTGTAGTTGTGTGTGTAACAGTATAAAACATAAATTTAAAAAAAGACAGTCATCAGAAAGAGAGAAAGAGTGGGATATCTATGGTTGAAGATATTGGATAATTCAACTGACATATGGATTCTGGTTGTTGTTTTTTCTTCCACAGATTGTACTTGCTCTATAACCACTGGGGGTTGCAGATCTTGGTGTATGCCTTCATCATAGTGGACCTGGCTTTGGCCATCTTTGAAGACCCAGCAGTTGTTCCTCTGCCAATATGGGTAGATATCCACAATGATATTCCTCTCAGCTTGGTGCAATTCTCAGTCTTTTTAAACGCCAATGTTTTGGCCCAGAGATAATGAAGCATTCCATGCAGTATGCTGGAGTGTTTGTCTCTTGAAACCTTTACTAATAACCCATTTTCTTTAGGCTTGTTTTATTGCTCTTTTCATGTTTTAAATCTATCCACAGTTGTCCAACAGTTGTATTATGTGTAGCACTGTGTGTGACCTCTGTTTTTTGATGAGAGTACCAGGGTCGTGTTCAGTAGGCCTAGGGCACGTTGCAGAAATGTTCTGAAACAGAAATATTCTTATTGGACAAGTTCATGTAGCCCCTCTGTTTCAAAGCATTTTTTCCTGTTTGCGCCAAATGAACACCACCCCAGTCAAACTTGGTTGAATTGCTAACAATTGGTTGTGCATATGTACAGTGGGGGAAAAAATGTATTTAGTCAGCCACCAATTGTGCAGGTTCTCCCACTTAAAAAGATGAGAGAGGCCTGTAATTTTCATCATAGGTACACGTCAACTATGACAGACAAAATGGTGGTCCTCTGTAGCTCAGCTGGTAGAACACGGCGCTTGTAACGCCAAGGTAGTGGGTTCGATCCCCGGGACCACCCATACACAAAAATGTATGCACGCATGACTGTAAGTCGCTTTGGATAAAAGCGTCTGCTAAATGGCTTATTATTTTTATTATTATTATTATTATTATTATTATTAAAATGAGGAAAAAAAATCCAGAAAATCACATTGTAGGATTCTTAATGAATTTATTTGCAAATTATGGTGGAAAATAAGTATTTGGTCAATAACTAAAGTTTCTCAATACTTTGTTATATACCCTTTGTTGGCAATGACACAGGTCAAACGTTTTCTGTAAGTCTTCACAAGGTTTTCACACACTGTTGCTGGTATTTTGGCCCATTCCTCCATGCAGATCTCCTCTAGAGCAGTGATGTTTTGGGGCTGTCGCTGGGCAACATGGACTTTCAACTCCCTCCAAAGATTTTCTATGGGGTTGAGATCTGGAGACTGGCTAGGCCACTCCAGGACATTGAAATGCTTCTTACGAAGCCACTCCTTCGTTGCCCGGGCGGTGTGTTTGGGATCATTGTCATGCTGAAAGACTCAGCCACGTTTAATCTTCAATGCCCTTGCTGATGGAAGGAGGTTTTCACTCAAAATCTCACGATACATGGCCCCATTCATTCTTTCCTTTACGCGGATCAGTCGTCCTGGTCCCTTTGCAGAAAAACAGCCCCAAAGCATGATGTTTCCACCCCCATGCTTCACAGTAGGTATGGTGTTCTTTGGATGCAACTCAGCATTCTTTGTCCTCCAAACACGACGAGTTGAGTTTTTACCAAAAAGTTCTATTTTGGTTTCATCTGACCATATGACATTCTCCCAATCCTCTTCTGGATCATCCAAATGCACTCTAGCAAACTTCAGACGGGCCTGGACATGTACTGGCTTAAGCAGGGGGACACGTCTGGCACTGCAGGATTTGAGTCCCTGGCGGCGTAGTGTGTTACTGATGGTAGGCTTTGTTACTTTGGTCCCAGCTCTCTGCAGGTCATTCCAGAACCCCCCGTGTGGTTCTGGGATTTTTGCTCACCGTTCTTGTGATCATTTTGACCCCACGGGGTGAGATCTTGCGTGGAGCCCCAGATCGAGGGAGATTATCAGTGGTCTTGTATGTCTTCCATTTTCTAATAATTGCTCCCACAGTTGATTTCTTCAAACCAAGCTGCTTACCTATTGCAGATTCAGTCTTCCCAGCCTGGTGCAGGTCTACAATTTTGTTTCTGGTGTCCTTTGACAGCTCTTTGGTCTTGGCCAAAGTGGAGTTTGGAGTGTGACTGTTTGAGGTTGTGGACAGGTGTCTTTTATACTGATAACAAGTTCAAACAGGTGCCATTAATACAGGTAACGAGTGGAGGACAGAGGAGCCTCTTAAAGAAGTTACAGGTCTGTGAGAGCCAGAAATCTTGCTTATTTGTAGGTGACCAAATACTTATTTTCCACCATAATTTGCAAATATATTCATTAAAAATCCTACAATGTGATTTCCTGGATTTATTTTTCTCAATTTGTCTGTCATAGTTGACGTGTACCTATGATGAAAATTACAGGCCTCTCTCATCTTTTTAAGTGGGAGAACTTGCACAATTGGTAGCTGACTAAATACTTTTTTTCCCCACTGTAATCTTTTCCTGAATTGATAGTAGCCACACGTTTTTTTCTCCCTCAGGTGACCTCAGTGATCGAGCTTGTCTGTCTGGCAGCCTTCACTGCTCGGCTCGTGCACTACGCCAAAGTCATCCCCCGGGAAAGGTTTTGGAAAGACCCCAAGAACATCTGCATCTTTGTTATCATTTTGGTAGGAGCAACTCAACTACTGCAATACAATTATTTTTAGGTGCAGGAATAATGCACAGGGGAACAGCGGACCTCTAATTTCTTATCTTTATTATTTTTCAGCCCTGGTATACTACAGTTTAGGGCGTGCATATTACCCTCATGTTCTTTAGTGCAATACAATATAGGACAATACAACTTTATTTCTCCAACTACTACATCGGAAATTCCTTGTCTGCTCTGCTCCTACCTCTCCTCACAAGACATGAACACTAGGGTCATTGGGATCCAGTGCTTTTGATTCAGTATGCATATCTCTATCAAGGTACAGGTACCTAAATAATACATTTTAATTTATTTGAATGATTTTATCCAGCGACAGCTTATACATATTCTGTATATATGAACAATGCTGGAATCAAACCCACAACCAAGGTATTACTAACATGTATTAGTCTGGGTCGTTGAAAGAAATCGCTACTTTGCCCCTAGACGCTGATCTTGGGTCATTGTAGCATTTACCCCACAAATGGTTGAGGTTAGGATTGGGGGAGGGGAATCTGATCCTAGACCTGTACCTAGAGGAAACTTTGGTCAAGAAGGAATTGGGAAACCCACCCAGTGACTCAGTGTAGCAGCATTTGAAGGAACTGTATTACAAGTTGAGAATGTGCTGAGAAGTGCTTTGCACATTGTTGTGAATAAACCTTTAGCCCGAAGTTTCCCTGTGTCAGGGATTCTCAACTCCTAGTTACTTCCTAGTGTTAACGCTATAACTCGGTTTGATTCTGAATAAACAAATGACTCATTTTGAGTGCACTGTTGTACACCGCTAACTCCTGTATTGACCATATATGCAAACATGTATTGATAGCAGTAGATATAGATAGTATATGGCAGCTATAGATGGTGAAACATATTTCAATGTAAATTGTATGACTGGGGTGGTGTTGACTTTTGATTGAGCAGTGTGTGGAAAAGTGGAGCCCAATGTTGGAATTGGTCTAGCTTCAAGCCGTCATGCTACTAGACCAATTCCAACTTCCAACACTGGGCTCCACTTGAGTTAGTTTCTGTGTGAGAATTGCTATGAAATAATCCAAAAATGCTGAATTGCAAATCAACCACTAGCCATTACTCTCACCCACTTCAGGATTGGATAGATGGAAACAATATGACTACAATACAATAACCACACTAAATCTATACAATCTACTTTGATCTCCAGGAGTCGTTAGAGGTCAATTTTGGAATTTAGCATACAACTTTGAGTAACTACTCCCATTACAAAGAAACAAACAGGGTACTAATTGAAGTTTTTCCCTTTCTCAGCTCTCACTTGTTGACATGATCATTTATGGGGCGTTGAAAGCCACAGGTTTCTACGCTGTCCGCTGGTCGCGGGTACTGAGGCCCCTCCTACTGGTCAACATCACTGAGGGACGACAGGTAAAAACTCTCTCCTTTTTTCTCCGTCTCAGTTAATGTATTGTCTGTCACACACACAAACATCATCTTCCCCCTGATTCAGGGGGGTTGGGTTAAATGCGGAAGACACATTTAGGTTGAATGCATTAAATTGTGCAACTGACTAGGTATCCCCCTTCCCTTTTATCACTCACTCACATTCTCTCTTTCTTCCTCTAGCTCCGGAGAGCATTCCGAAGCATCCGAAACGCACTGCCTCAGATCCTCTATGTCTTCCTGCTCTTCATGTTCAGCGTGCTCATGTTCTCACTCATGGCCCTCAAACTCTTTGGGAAAAGGTAAGTCAGGATCAGGAATGTCCTGTAGTCATATGGGCATATGTTTGCCAGCATTGTAAGCTCTAGAACAGGGGTGATCATCTTGTCTTCAGAGGACTGGTCTGAGTGCAGGCCTTTGTTCCAGCCAAGCAGTAACACATCTGATTCAACTAATCAACTCATATATATCAATACTTTTATTAGTTGAATCAGGTGTGTTCATGCTGGGTTGGAACAAAAGCCTGCACCCATGCCGGTCTGATATAGTTGGCAAGCAAATAATTATTACCAAATGCGTAGCACTTCATAAAGTTGCACTGAAAACTACTGTAGTTTCCTCTATAAGAGCAGGTCTAGGATCAGCTATTCTATCCCAATTCCCAAACCTAATCTTAACCATCAGAAAGAAAAGCAGTGCTCTGAGGGGCTATGTCATCCTACACCAGCCTTGTGTGGTTAGTAGAGCACATCCATCCATACTTCCTGTTTGCAAAGAGGGAGGGGACTAGGATCAAGTTGCCCTTAGACACTCATCCAGGGTCATTTCTGCAGTTGACCGGCTAATGGTGAAGGTTCATGTTTTTGAGGGGGGGCGGGGGGGGCATTGTTGTTGGACGTAATGCAAACCAGATTTGTGCTGCTTTTTCCTCCATAGGGACCTTAAAACAACAGAGGGACGCCCCTATTTCACCAACTATCTGGAGATTGTCTTTGATCTCTATGTCCTAGTCACTACTGCCAACAGCCCGGATGTCATGTGAGTACCCTGGATATATCCACTATCCAACCATATTCCTTATGATTTTTATTATGAAATCTAGTAAGATGTGAATGCTTCTTTAAAGCTAGAATCCTTAATTGAAAAAATAACAAAGCTGTCACCACACCTCTGTTTTGGTAAAAAGCCTAGGAATGGGCATGAAGAAATGTAACCACTGTCAAATTCCTAGACAGAGCTATGGATGCAAGGGCTGACCATACACTATATCACAATTCTAGTTTTAACCATGTTTTGAGGCTAGACAATGTTTGTTTACATTGTTTACAAACATTGGAGTAAAACAATCTTATATTTTGGGTTCTGATGGAGTATGACAGTTGGACTAAGCTCATGAGGCATTTATAAGTTATATCTTTAAGAATCAATGGGTATATATCATTAATTTATAAGTCCAAAAATGGATGTAGCATTTAAGGATTCTAGCTTTAACTGTATGACTTTTAATTTGTAGTACAACTTTAAGTACAACATCCCCTTTCTATATACACTCAGTGGCCAGTTTATTAGGTACACCCATCTAGTAGCGGGTCGGATCCCTCTTTGCCTCCAGAACAGCCTGAATTCCTCGGGGCATGGAAACGTTGCTCAAGGGTCCAAACGCGTGCCAGGAAAACATTCCCCACACCATTACCCCACCACCACCAGCCTGTACCGTTGAAACCAAGCAGGATTGAGTCATGGACCCATGCTGCCTCCAAATCCTGACTCTGCCATTAGCATGACGCAACAGGAACTGGGATTCGTCGGACCAGGCAATGTTTTTCCACTCCTCAATTGTCCAGTGTTGGCGATCGCGTGCCCATTGGAGCCGCTTCTTTTTGTTTTTAAAGTTGATAGGAATGGAACCCGGTGTGGTCGTCTGCTGCAATAGCCCATCATTCTCAGTAAACCCTAGACACTGTCGTGCGTGAAAAGCCCAGGAGGACGGACGTTTCTGAGGTACTGGAAGCGTCGCGCCTGGGACTGACGATCATACCACGTTCAAAGTCGCTTAGGTCACTTGTTTTGCCCATTCTAAAGTTCAGTCGAACAGTAACTGAATGCCTGTCTGCCTGCTTTATACAGCAAGCCACAGCCACGTGACTCCCTGTCTGTAGGAGCAAACCATTTTCTTGAACGGGTGGGGTACCTAATAAACCTACAACTATTTTGCTGGGAGTAGATTATGCTTGCATTGATGGTGACACGTGGTGGTTTTTGCCTACTGAAGTTGAATAAACTGGTTGTTAGTCGCTCTGGATAAGAGTGTCTGCTAAATGACTAAACTGTAAAATATCTCATGAGTCATTTAATTGTTTCATCTTTAATATACAGACACTTACGTGGACAAATCTTGATGTATTTTTGTCTTTATTTCCCCACGTAGGATGCCAGCGTACAACTTCAGCGTTTTCTTTGCCGTGTTCTTCATCATCTATATCCTCATCAACACGTACATCTTCATGTCGGTGTTCTTGGCGGTCGTGTACAACAACTACAAAAAGTACCTGAAGGTAAAGTGGGCGGACAAGACAATGATAGAAGCTCAGCATGATTTCTTCGCAGATTTGCTCCTTTTGTTGGTTCTGATATGGTTTGTTCCATTCTGTGTAGAGCGCGTCTGAATGAGCTAGTAGAACGTCGCATAACTTTTGTAGGCTGTTGCTTAAAGGTAGCTATTTTGAGTGCTTTTGTTATGGGTTTATTATGAAATTCAATACTGGTGACTTTAAAATGTAAGTAGCCTTGGCTTGTGCGAGACGGAATGGCTCATAGAAGCAGGAGCCTATCTCCTGTGTCTGTAGCTTAAGGCAGCTTGGTGTACAAGTACACCCCCCAAGAAAGGACGCTGGTCTATCGCAGGGCCTTACCCTCAAATCTCCTTAATGCTAAGTGCCAAGCAGAGACCCATCAGGTCCCATTTTTACAGTCTTTGGTATGACTCCGCCGGGCATCGAATTCCTAACCTTCCAATCTCAGGGCGGACACTTTAACCACAAGCCCACTGAGTTGGTGAGAAAAGTGAGTGGCTGATAGTTGTGTGGTGTCAAAAAGGACTCACCTACTTACAAAGCATGTAGAGGTCTGTAATTTTTATCACAGGTACACTTCAACTGTGAGAGACGGAATTTTAAACAAAAATCCAGAAAATCACATTGTATGATTTTTAAGTAATTAATTTGCATTTTATTGCATGACATAAGTATTTGATCACCTACCAACCAGTAAGAATTCCTGCACTCACAGACCTGTTAGTTTTTCTTTAAGAAGCCCTCCTGTTCTCCACTCATTACCTGTATTAACTGCACCTGTTTGAACTCGTTACCTGTATAAAATACACCTGTCCACACATTCAATCAAACAGACTCCAACCTCTCTACAATGGCCAAGACCAGAGAGCTGTGTAAGGACATCAGGGATAAAATTGTAGACCTGCACAAGGCTGGGATGGGCTACAGGACAATAGGCAAGCAGCTTGGTGAGAAGGCAACAACTGTTGGCGCAATTATTAGAAAATGTAAGAAGTTCAAGATGACGGTCAATCACCCTCGGTCTGGGGCTCCATGCAAGATCTCACCTCATGGGGCATCAATGATCATGAGGAAGGTGAGGGATCAGCCCAGAACTACACGGCAGGACGTGGTCAATGACCTGAAGAGAGCTGGGACCACAGTCTCAAAGAAAACCATTAGCAACACACTATGCCGTCATGGATTAAAATCCTGCAGCGCACGCAAGGTCCCCCTGCTCAAGCCAGCGCATGTCCAGGCCCGTCTGAAGTTTGCCAATGACCATCTGGATGATCCAGAGGAGGAATGGGAGAAGGTCATGTGGTCTGATGAGACAAAAATAGAGCTTTTTGGTCTAAACTCCACTCGCCGTGTTTGGAGGAAGAAGAAGGATGAGTACAACCCCAAGAACACCATCCCAACCGTGAAGCATGGAGGTGGAAACATCATTCTTTGGGGATGCTTTTCTGCAAAGGGGACAGGACGACTGCACCGTATTGAGGGGAGGATGGATGGGGCCATGTATCGCGAGATCTTGGCCAACAACCTCCTTCCCTCAGTAAGAGCATTGAAGATGGGTCGTCGCTGGGTCTTCCAGCATGACAACGACCCAAATCACACAGCCAGGGCAAATAAGGAGGGGCTCCGTAAGAAGCATCTCAAGGTCCTGGAGTGGCCTAGGCAGTCTCCAGACCTGAACCCAATAGAAAATCTTTGGAGGGAGCTGAAAGTCCGTATTGCCCAGCGACAGCCCCAAAACCTGAAGGTCTGTATGGAGGAGTGGGCCAAAATCCCTGCTGCAGTGTGTGCAAACCTGGTCAAGATCTACAGGAAACATATGATCTCTGTAATTGCAAACAAAGGTTTCTGTACCAAATATTAAGTTCTGCTTTTCTGATGTATCAAATACTTATGTCATGCAAATTAATTACTTAAAAATCATACAATGTGATTTTCTGGATTTTTGTTTTAGATTCCGTTTCTCACAGTTGAAGTGTACCTATGATAAAAATTACAGACCTCTACATGCTTTGTAAGTAGGAAAACCTGCAAAATTCACTTTCCCTAGGTGGGTGTTAGTAGTCTAAAGTCTACTTTGCTTCATCTTCACTGATCTGAGGTTATAGGTCAAGTGAAGTCACTTCACCCATGTGCTTTGGGGTGAAGTTTCCTCTAGGTACAGGTCTAGGATCAGATTCCCCTCCCCCAATTCTAACCTCAACCATTTGTGGGGAAAATGCTACACTGACCCAAGATCAGTGTCTAGGGGCAACTTCATCCTACTCCTATCCTATGTACCCAATCAGGAAGAAGTACGGCTGCTCGTCAGGGCCAAGAGGCACAAGATGGTGCGTGCCTTCGGCGTGCTGCAGGAGAGGAAGGGAGAGGAGGAGCCTGTGGTAAGCCAGGCCTGTTGGAACCAGCTTGTGCGGTTGGTCCAGCCGGACATCAGCAACGCCCACAGGGAGCTGCTGTGGAGTGTCTCCGACGACAACAACAAAGGCTGCATAGGTGAGTGGGTGGAGTCTACGTCACACAGGGACCCACACAAAGATGTTACATGCTGACTAAATTGCAGATTGCAGATGACTGCCAGATCTCACAACGCCTGGATAGGTGTTTAATATGTCAGCTAACATCCACATCATATGATATAGCCATCTGAAGCCTGAATTCCCAGTCACTGACATAGTACACAACCATTGGTTCATGGAATGTAACGCCTGCAATGTAGTCGCCCTGGAACGCTACCATAGTGTTACCCAAGCAGCACCTTCTTTGAGCTGAAGCCTTAATTGATTCATTTCATCCATCCACCTGTGCAGGAAAAGTGGCATTTGTTCAGCTGGCGGACCTCCTGAACATCCAGGTCATCATGATGAAGTCACGGCCTCACCCCCTCCAGACATGGCTACCCTCTCTCTATCTCTCCTCCCCCAGTCGTCTCGTCTGCCGCATGGTCCAGCACAAGTGAGTGCAGCCAATGAGTGTAGACGTTACTCAGCAGACGTACAGGGAAGAGGTTTGGGGGAGCGTGTGAAAGTATCTGAAAGTGTGTATATATATATGAAAGTAATTCAGTGTTTCTCAACCAATTCCTTGGTAAACCTCATAATGACATCTTTTTTTAACTAGTTCTTGTTTGTAGTGATATAACTCCAATCACTTTTGCCCGCTATTTACTAGATTCCTTTCAGCGTCAGAGCCGTGGTATAGTGGTAACATATACAACTCCCTACTGGAGACCAGGGTTCAATCCCTCCCTCTACCCTTCTCACTGTTTCTCCCACTTGCGTGTTTAAACACCTAAAAATTACTTTACAAAATCTAAACTTCATTTTCGTTGATGCATACATCAGTTTGCTAGACTCCTTTCTTTGCATAAGATAACTTTAAGAACCATTTGGTACATTTTGACTTTAGTATTTGACTGGTCATTGGTATTTCCAGTATTTGTGTTTTTTCCTGTGGGAACAATAAAGTTTATTTTCCATGTGAGCCTTGAAACTTTACAAGAGTTGTAGAATGTGTGTTAATTTTATGACGTTTGTGAAAGATGACTTATAAACGTTCACAAGTCACTACATTATATAATGCTATACCTCTAAAATATAGTCCAGATAGCTAGAACATGGTTGACATGAACATTGTTGACTTGAACATGGTTAACTTAAGACTAGAGTGTGGGACAGCTGTAGTGTGTCTGTGTGGGCTTATATACGTGTAGGTCTCATGTATATCTTTGCGTTTTTCTTTCCGTGTGGGTAATATCCAGGGCGTTTGTGTACACCTACGACCTGATCATCCTGGTTAACGCGGTGTTCATCGGTCTGGACGAGGACGACCCGCTGATAGCCAACGTAGAGTGGGCTTTCCTGGTCCTCTATCTCCTAGAGATCCTCCTCAAACTGTACAGCTTTGAACCCCGCGCCTTCTTCTCCAGACACCAGTTCTGGAACTGGTGAGAAGCCCAAGCATTTTTGTCCGGTTACGCGGGCAGCGATTTAAGCCTAGTCCTGGACTAAAAAGCATGCTTACTGAAGAATCTCCATTGAGCTTTCTTTTTAGTCCAGGACTAAGCTCAATCTGAATCTGGGAAACCAACCCCTTATGTAGCCAGTAGTAGTATACAGTGGCTTGCGAAAGTATTCACCCCCCTTGGCATTTCTTTCTATTTTGTTGCCTTACAACCTGGAATTAAAATGGATTTTTGGTTTTTTGATTTACACAACATGCCTACCACTTTGAAGATGCAAAATAATTTTTTTTGTGAAACAATCAAGAAATAAGAACAAAAAAACAGAACTTGAGTGTGCATAACTATTCACCCCCTCAAAGTCAATACTTTGTAGAGCCACCTTTTTCAGCAATTACAGCTGCAAGTCTCTTGGGGTATGTCTCTATAAACTTGGCACATCTAGGCACTGGGATTGTTGCCCATTCTTCAAGGCCAAATTGCTCCAGCTCCTTCAAGTTGGATGGGTTCCGCTGGTGTATAGCAATCTTTAGGTCATACCACATATTCTCAATTGGATTGAGGTCTGGGCTTTGACTAGGCCATTCCAAGACATTTAAATGTTTCCCCTTAAACCAGTGTTGCTTTAGCAGTATGCTTAGGGTCATTGTCCTGCTGGAAGCTGAACCTCCGTCCCAGTCTCAAATCTCTGGAAGACTGAAATAGGTTTCCCTCAAGAATTTCCCTGTATTTAGCGGCATCCATCATTCCTTCAATTCTGACCAGTTTCCCAGTCCCTGCCGATGGGAAAAACTTCCCCACAGCATGGTGTTGGGTTTGCGCCAGACATAGCGTTTTCCTTGATGGCCAAAAAGCTCAATTTTAGTCTCATCTGACCAGCGTACCTTCTTCCATATGTTTGGGGAGTCTCCCACATGCCTTTTGGCGAACACCAAACGTGTTTGCTTATTTTTTTTTAAAGCAATGGCTTTTTTCTGGCCACTCTTCCATAAAGCCCAACTCTGTGGAGTGTACGCCTTAGTGGTCCTATGGACAGATACTCCAATCTCCGCTGTGGAGCTTTGCAGCTCCTTCAGGGTTATCTTTGGTCTCTTTGTTGCCTCTCTGGTTAATGCCCTCCTTGCCTGGTCTGTGAGTTTTGGTGGGCGGCCCTCTCTTGGCAGGTTTGTTGTGGTGCCATATTCTTTCCATTTTTTAATAATGGATTTAATGGTGCTCCGTGGGATGTTCAAAGTTTGGGATATTTCTTTATAACCCAACCCTGATCTGTACTTCTCCACAACTTTGTCCCTGACCTGTTTGGAGAGCTCATTGTTCTTAATGGTGCCGCTTGCTTGGTGGTGCCCCTTGCTTAGTGGTCTTGCAGACTCTGGGGCCTTTCAGAACAGGTGTGTGTGTGTGTGTGTGTGTGTATATATATATATATATATATATATATATATATATACACACATACTGAGATCATGTGACAGATCATGTGACACTTAGATTGCACACAGGTGGACTTTATTTAACTAATTATGTGACTTCTGAAGGTAATTGGTTGCACCATATCTGTGGTACGTGCATATCTGAATACATATGCACGTACCACTTCTCCGTTATTTATTTTTTTGAAACAAGTTATTTTTTTTAATTTCACTTCACTAATTTGGACTATTTTGTGTATGTCCATTACATGAAATCCAAATAAAAATCCATTTAAATTACAGGTTGTAATGCAACAAAATAGGAAAAACGCGAAGGGGGATGAATACTTTTGCAAGGCACTGTACATAGTATAATTTGTTGTTTTCCCTTCAAATACTTTGAGCGTTTGATTGAACCTGCCTGGAGTGCCATGCCGGGGATGGGCAGGGTCTGCACTTTGGTGACTATTCAATTGGTTCCATTGTGTCAGGCAAGCTCAATCAAGCACGGCTAAAGTTGAAAGAAAGAAAACCAATACTATTTGAACCCAGATCTGGTCAATATTAGAAGCAATGTTTTATGTTCCCCTTATGCCATGTAGATGCACCATCCCTAATTCTGTGACCAAGGCTTGTTTACTTAAGAGTGGTACTCAGCGGATTAGGTATATGATGATTGAATTGCAATGAAAGGAGACCGCTTCTGCTTGGTTTAATTACTTGTGTAGTAATATCTTCCTCACCACTATCCACACAGGTTTGACACCATCATCGTCATCACTGCCTTAATAGCTATGATCATCAATTCAGCACTGAAATTATGTAAGTAAAACCTAAATCTGTGTCAGGGAAGGGAAAAGGGATACCAAGTCAGGTCTTCCGCATTTAACCCAAACCCTCTGAATCGGAGAGGGGTGGGGGGCTGCCTTAAGTGACATCCATGGCATTGGCGCCTATATGGGCCATGTTCCTGGACACAGACCAAACCAAGTCCTTGATTAGAATTACATTAGATTCTCCATTGAGCATGGTTATTAAGTCCAGGATTAGGCATAATCTGTGTCCGGGAAACCGGCCCAATATGTCTTTAAATCTAGCACATTGTGTTATCATGGATCATATCATATCACTTCCACTCTTTACTCACAAACAGTAAAGGTTATTTTTCTTTGTTAAGGGCTCTGCAGCAGTGTGCCTGCATTGCAACCATCAATGTTTTAGGCCTACATTTCCGATTGTAGACCACCATGCCATTGAGACAGTATAAAAAAAAATGACAGTTAAAGTTATTAAGGCAAATACAATATACAACTTAATTGTCCATTTTGTCTGGGGTTTGCTGTTCCCCATGAGCCCCCCTTCTGGTGGTGATGGCGGCTCATTGTTAATGTTGGCTGCTGTTGACCATTGCGCTAACATTGGGGTTTTACATTATGTCAACGCTGTGCTGGCTCTGGGGAGCAGGAGTGGAAGGTCACCCATAGTAAGCCTCTCATTGGTTTGTTGGAGTCATCCTATTGTTTCTGTTGCCCATATATTTTTGTCTTTTTCATGTGTTATTTTAAACCTATTGATGATTGTCTGTTGAATGATGAGTCGTCATCATGTTTCATTTGAAAATGAGTAAAAGTACAATGAAAGACAAAAATAAGATGGTACTTTATTAATGTTTTTTTTGGATAGATGACTCTTGATAGATACTCAAATTAAATTATTGAAAAATCAGTATAGTATATAATTTTACATTTTAGTCATTTAGCAGACGCTCTTATCCAGAGCGACTTACAGTTAGTGAGTGCATACATTTTCATACTGGCCCCCCGTGGGAATCGAACCCACAACCCTGGCATTGCAAATGCCATGCTCTACCAACTGAGCTACACGGGACTACACATAATAACTTACGTTGGTAGTGGGTGGCATACTTTGGCGATGGATGAGGTTTTTCCTACTTTTAGGAGCTTGTTGAAAAGCGCTATAAATCAAACATCTGCTTCCTATGTAGACTTGGGATGATGTTTATTTTCCTTGTCCTTTTTTCATTATGCTGTCTGGTGCACTCTACTACAGCAAATGATTTTGCCCTCCGAGTCTGCCTTGCGTTCATGTTGGGATGTTCATGTGTTTTGTCCCAGCTGGAGGCTACACCAGCCGTCAGATCCTGGACATTGTGTTCATCCTGCGCATCCTGAGGCTCATACGAGTGGTGGACAGCATCAAAAGGTTAGGAGGTCAAGGACTTCCATTTCCTGTATGAGCAGGGTCTGGTGTGTGTGTGTGTGCGCTCATGTACGCGTGCATGTAAGACAGTTTCAAAATAAAGATGTGAAACATTATCAAACCGTTTCCCTTAACTGCCAGGGCTAGTATCTGCAGTAGCTACTGTGACAAAATGAATTTGCAGAAAGTCCTATACAAGTCAGATATGGTTGATTTGATATTCTCATTCATAGACTTGGAACTCATATTCTTCCTGATGTTCTTTCTCCCTAAGGTTTCGTGCCATCATCAACACCCTCATCAAGATTGGACCGACGATACTCACATTCGGACAGCTCATCGTCGTAAGTTGTTTGTGTGTAGTTAAAGTTAAATTACACCAAGAAGGGAATGTGTTTATTAAGGATATTTATGGACCAAAGTGTGACCCTATTCCTGCATATTGAGCTTAAAGTGCCAATCAGCAGTTGAAACAATACCAAAGTGTACTCGCCACTGTTTCACTAAAAAGCTGAGGGATAGGGCTGGAGAAATGTAACCACTCTCAAATTCATAGACCAAGCTATGGATGCAAGGACTGACCATCCATGATATTGTAATTATAGTTTTAATCATGTTTTGAGGCTATACAGTGTTTGTTTACATGTACTTTGTTTACAAACATTGGAGTAAAACAAGCTTATATTTTGGGTTCTAATGGGGTACGACCGTTGAACTAAGCTCATGAGTTTGACGCTTGTAAGGGAATCGGATGATTTCAAATGTCAAGATGAATCAAATTCCCAATCTATCAGCTGTGTATATCCAGCTATAATATGCCTCAACCCCAAATGAATGGAAAAGATAAGCGCCACACAATTGTAGTTCTTATCTCTTTCCTTCATTTTGGATTATGCCATACAGCTGGATCTACAAAACAGATGGTCTTGGTCATTGACTCATATTTAAATTACACTGAAAACATCAGACAATTCATATTTGAGTGAAATGTCCCTTCAATATTTAATCCTGTGTTGCAACTGATGATTGATTGACTGCATAGTTGTCCCATATACAGTACATTCGGAAAGTATTCAGACCCCTTGACTTTTCCACATTGTTACGTTACAGCCTTATTCTAAAATTGATTAAATAGTTTTTTTCCCTCATCAATCTACACACAATACCCCGTAATGACAAAGCAAAAAAAGGTTTTTAGAAATTGTTGCAAATGTATTACAAATAAAAAACTGATATCACATTTACATAAGTATTCTGACCATTTACTCAGTACTATGTAGAAGCACATTTGGCAACGATTACAGCCTCAAATCTTCTTTGGTATGACGCTACAAGTGTGGCACACCTGTATTTGGGTAGTTTCCCCCATTCTTTTCTGCAGATCCCCTCAAGCTATGTCAGGTTGGATGGGGAGTGTCGCTGCACAGCTATTTTCAGGTCTCTCCAGAGATGTTCGATCTGGTTCAAGTCCGGGCTCTGGCTGCGCCACTCAAGGACATTCAGAGACTTGTCTCGAAGCCACTCCTGCGTTGTCTTGGCTATGCGCTTAGGGTCGTTGTCCTGTTGGAAGGTGAACCTTCGCCCCAGTCTGAGGTCCTTAGCGCTCTGGAGCAGGTTTTCATCAAGGATATCTCTGTACTTTGCTCTGTTAATATTTCCCTCAATCATGACTAATCTCCCAGTCCCTGCTGCTGAAAAACATCCCACAGCATGTTGCTGCCACCACCGTGCTTCACCGTAGGGATGGTGCCAGGTTTCCTCCAGACGTGACGCTTGGCATTCAGGCCAAAGAGGTTTGGTTTCATCAGACCAGAGAATCTTGTTTCTCATGGTCTGAGTCCTTTAGGAGCCTTTTGGCAAACTCCAAGCGGGCTGCTTTTTACTGAGGAGTGGCTTCCGTCTGGTCACGCTACCATAAAGGCCTGATTGGTGGAGTGCTGCAGAGATGGTTGTCCTTCTGGAAGGTTCTCCCATCTCCAGAGAGGAACTCTGGAGCTCTGTCAGAGTGACCATCGGGTTCATGTTCACCTCCCTGACCAAGGCCCTTCTCCCCCGATTGCTCAGTTTGGCTGGGCGGCCAGCTCTAGGAAGAGTCTTGATGGTTCCAAACTTCTTCAATTTAAGAATGATGGATGCCACTGTGTTCTTGGGGACCTTCAATGCTGCAGAAATGTTTTGGTACCCGTTCCCCAGATCTGTGCCTCGACACAATCCTGTCTCGGAGCTCTACGGACAATTCCTTCGACCTCATGGCTTGGTTTTTGCTCTGACATGCACTGTCAACTGTGGGATCTTATATAGACAGGTGTTACTTACCAAATCATGTCAAATCAATTGAATTTACCACAGGTGGACTCCAGTCAAGTTGTAGAAACATCTCAAGGATGATCAATGGAAACAGGATGCACCGGAGCTCAATTTTGAGTCTCATAGCAAAGGGTCTGAATACTTATGTAAATAAGGTATTTCTGTTTTTTTTATTGTTAATACATTTACCAAAAATTCTAAACCTGTTTTTGCTTTGTCATTATGGGGTATTGTGAGGATTTTTTTGAAAATTTGTAACGTAACAAAATGTGGAAAAACAGACGGGGTTTGAATACTTTCTGAATGCACTGTATTTCTCAGGTGGTCTATTACATATTTGCCATGGTGGGAATGGAGCTGTTCAAAGGGAAAATCCGCTTCTTCGAGGCTAACTCCACTGATCCGGATAAGGCATTCTGTGGAAACCCCCTGCTCAAAAACTCAGCATTCGCCAAACACAACTACTGCAAGAACAACTTTAACAACGTGGTTTCCTCTTTTATCCTCCTACTGGAACTCACCGTGGTCAACCAGTGGAATGATATCCTTTTCAAAGCATGGGAAAATACATTGAGATATTAAGCTAAAACATTACTTTTTATGTGCTCTTGTGAAAATGTTGCTCCAAGATAGAAATCTTGAATCAGAATTGTAAGGTAAGCTGTGTTCACTGACTAAAACAGTCAAAAATACATTACTTTACAGTAGGTTGGTAAGGAATACCTGGGATAGGATAAAGTAATCCTTCTACCCCCCCCCCCCCCCCCCCCCCCCCCCCCCCAAAAAAAAAATTGTAAAGTGGTTATCCCACTGGCTATAGGGTGAATGCACCAATTTGTGAGTTGCTCTGGATAAGAGCGTCTGCTAAATGACGTAAATGTGCCCTTGAGCAAGGCACTTAACCCTAATTGCTCCTGTAAGTCGCTCTGGATAAGAGTGTCTGCTAAATGACTAAAATGTCAATGTAAATGTGTGTAGAGGGTTAAACATACGTTGAAATTGCAATATAACTCTCTTTACTAAACAGTCTTCGTAGCTTATTTCAGGATCCAGACAACTGGGTAATTTCTCAGTGTTTCTCAAAGTTGCCAGGCTAACTTGACCATTCAGTGGAGAATTGTTACTATTTTATTATTTTCTTTAATGTTGGTCCCACTGCTGTCCAGCGGTTTCACCACAGTCACTCACATCTCAGCCAGGATGTTCTTCGTCCTCTTCCACATTGTAGTCGTCATCATCATTATCAAGTAAGAACAAGTCTCCTTTTTGAAATACTAAGAACCAAACAAACTTTTCTCAATGATACTCTATTGCTGAATAAAAACATCGACCCCTACACCCCAGGCACTCCTGTAGATCTAAAAGGATTAGACAAGTTTAAGCAATATGGTAATAACTTAACTTTGCCTTTTGATTTGCTTGGTGGAATGTCCGCCATATTGCTTATACCCATCCAATAGTTTCAGATCTCCAGTGCCTAGGGGGCAGTGATAGGAATCAATTTGGAACCCAGCATAGTATGACTTTGTATTTGATAACTCACTCAATTCTCATAAAGATCGAGTATCACATGCCTTTTTTCCCTCAGTATTTTCATTGCTTTCGTCCTGGAAGCCTTCTTCGTGGAGTACACCGTGGACAGAAGTAACCTACAATCTTCTCTGGAAAAGAAAATTGAGGAACTGGAATTGGGCGTCAAACAGTACGTGCCTGATAGTTTTGCAATTGGAGAATAATTTTTTATGCCTTGGGTGGGCTTGATTTCGTATTGAGTCAGAGGGGTGAAAGTGTAGCATGCATAACTTCCTGTAGCCATGAGTCATGTTCCAAGCTAAACCACATACAGTATTCATGATGCACTGCCTTCAAATAAAGGGTTTGCTAATTGTTCATGTTAAAACAAAGGGTTTGCTAATTGCTTATTGGCCAGTAGATGTGGCAGACTGGGGGTGTGTTCAGTGAGGTGAAACGTTCAGAGCGTTGCAGATAGAAATGTGATGAATAGAGTTGATACGATTTCCTATTCAACATGACAATCATATCTACTCAATCTACGCAAAACATTTCGATCTGAACGTTATGTAATGGTGTGTCCTCCTGAACAGCCATGTTTATCTTGTTTTATTGTGCTTTCTCTTTGTGCTAATCAGAGAGAAACTGGATGGAAACTTGGTGGATGCCATGGAAACGAACGACAATGATATGGGCACCTCTGAGTCGACCAAGGGAAAACCTGCACTCATGTTCAAGATCGCCTCTAAAAGTAAGCTTTGAGGAGAATTCATTGTAGCACTGTCTGAATCACCTGTATGGTGGTATGACACATTTTATACCTTGGAAATCTATGAATGTGAATGGAAATATATGCATATGGCAATTAATGCTTTTTCAAATATTATGGCTGCTATAATATGCTATACAATGTTATGAATTCTGAATGCACAATCAATGCATCATAGAATCACATAGAATCATCATAGCTATACAGTATGTGATGAATTATGATTTACTACCTGGAAAAGGGTTATCAAAAACCTGGGTTGTTTTCAATAGGAAACAGCAAAGATTTCAAAATGTAAATCTGCGTTTTTGTTAGACACGTTCAGGTAGTAGCCTACCTGAATAGGGCCTTTTAACAATCTGTACTGACATCAGCTTTCTGCCTGCTTCCTCCCAGGATACAAAACTGTGGACGGTTTGTTACAGAGGATGTTTGAGGCGGACCTAGACCCAGAGGACTTTGCAGAAGATGAAGATTTCGATCCCAATAACCCATCGAATCTGAACTTCCCAAATCCAACCTTTGATTCTGTATAGCCGTGGTCAGAAAGGGAATAAATACTCTAATTTAGCTTTCTGTTTTTGTACTGAAATGCCTTATATTATCATGCCTAATGTATCATAAAAAATACTATATTTTATGAAATATTTCTAGAGGTTTATGTAAAACACAATTCACACTATAAACGGGTAACATTCCTCAATGTGATATTTAGCTCGCTATTTTGATCTCTTTCATATACTGCTTTTTGTAAATATCTTGACAACACAATCCACATTCATCAAAAATGAGATTTATTCTTGTTTGATGATCGCCATGTGAAGTTATACTCAAAGGAACAGCATTTGATCATCTATCATGAAGGGAAAACTGAAATGATATAAAATGGAATATCTACTGAGGTAATTTGCCACAGCATAAAAGGTTGTTTATTTTGTCTGTTTCTTCTATTGGGAAATCTGACTCAAATACATGCTGTATGTAGAGACTTTACTCTGAACGATTTATATTGTCATTTATGGACAGTTTCCCGGATACAGATCAGGGCTTATCCTGGACTAAAAAACAAGTTCAATGGAGAATCTCAATTGAAATGGGTTTTTAGTCCAGGACTATGTTTAATCTGTGTCCAGGGAACCAGCCCTCGAAGTTCAGTCACATCCAACCAACCAACCTTCGATACAAACCATTACTCTGTTGGCCTATGTACATCATTATTTCTCTATTAATAAAGCATGACCAGCTAAGGATAAAAAAAAAAGCCTTTCTTGTGATGTATTATGTGCGACCAAACTAACATTTCATGTAACCAAGCATTAATTGACCAAAGACTGGTTTGCTCTGACATCATCAGTACAGGCACTTTTCTTCACTTTTTCAATTAAGCTTTGGCTGTTTGGTGCATAGCCTACCCTACCTGACATGTGCAGAGTCTACTATGATTGGAAACGGTTGGAAAGCTACAGTGCCTTCAGAAAGTATTCACGCCACTTGACTTTTTCTACTTTGTTGTGTTAAAGCCTGTATTTAAACTAGATTACATTTAGATTTTTTTTTGTCAATGGCATACAAACAATACATTATGGGGTATTTTTACAAATTCATTAAAAATTAAAAGCTGAAATGTCTTCAGTCAAAGTATTCAACCCCTTTGTTATTGCCTACATAAGTTCAGGAGTAAAAATGTGCTTGACAAGTCACATAATTGCATGGATTTACTCTGTGTGTAATAATAGTGTTTAACATGATTTTTTTAATGACTACCTTGTCACTGTACCCCACACATAAAATTATCTGTAAGGTCCCTCAGTCGAGCAGTGAATTTCAACCACAAAGACCAGGGAGGTTTCCAATGCCTCACAAAGGGCACCTATTGGTAGATTGGTAAATATAAAAAAAAGCAGACATTTAATATCCCTTTGAGCATGGTGAAGTTATTAATTACACTTTGGATGGTGTCTCAATACACCCAGTTACTACAAAGATACAGGCGTCCTTCCTAATTCAGTTGCTGGAGAGGAAGGAAACCGCTTAGGAATTACACCATGAGGCCAACAGTTACAGAGTTTAATGGCTGGGATAGGAGAAAACGGAGGATGGATCAACAACATTGTAGTTGTTGAAAAGAAGGAAGCCTGTACAGAATGAAAATATTCCAAAACATGCATCCTGTGTGCAACAAGGCACTAAAGTAATATTGCAAAACATTGTGGCAAAGCAATTCACTTTTTGAATTGCATACAAAGTGTTATGTTTGGGGCAAATCCAATACAACACATTACTGAGTACCACTCCATATTTTCAAGCATAGTGGCGACTGCATCATGTTATGGGTATGCTTGTAATCGTTAAGGACTAGGGAGTTTTTAGGATGAAAGAGAAACTGAATGGAGCTAAGCACAGGCAAAATCCTAGAGGAAAACATGGTTCAGACACCGGGAGATTAATTCACCTTTCAGCAGGACAATAACCTAAAACACAAGGCCAGATATACACTGGAGTTGCTTACCAAGAAGACAGTGAATGTTCCTGAGTGGCCAAGTTACAGTTTTGACTTAAATCTGATTGAAAATCTATGGCAAGACCTGAAAATGGTTGTCTAGAAATGATCAACAAACTATTTGATAGAGCTTGAAGAATTTCGAAAAAGAATGGGAAAATGTTGTACAATACAGGTGTGGAGCTCTTAAGAGATTTACCCAGAAAGACTCACAGCTGTAATCTGCTGTAAACTTCTAACATGTATTGACTCAGGGGGTTGAATAATTATCTAATCAAGCTATATTAGTATTTAATTTTTCATAAATTTTGCGAGCTCTGACCCAACTTTGCTATTTTGTGATATTTATGAAGTTTATTTTTTACTTTATTTTCATGAAATGTATCCGCTATAATTTCTTATAACCAACAAGAACTTTTGAACATTAGATCGGCAGTTACTTAACCCAATTCCGGCTTCAAATTCGACTCATCTGCCCTGGGCTCTTTCTGTAATTGCGACTCAATTTCCAGCGTATGCAAGAGGAAACATCGGCGTTACAGAGGCAGGAGACGGGGAGTCCTGGCGAGATTAAGGCGAAAGGAAAACCACCTCTTCCCTCCATTCTATTGGCCAATCACTTCATAATAAGATTTCATAATACAATGAAAAGAGGTCCCTAGTGGACTTGACTAACATTAGCATGAATGCTTGGGTAGTGGAGGGGTCAGAATGGAAGGGAGAGACAGAGATTCAAACTATCATAGTTACTTTGGAGACTATGCTCAAAGTAATCATAATACTTATGCACCCTAATAACGCTCATTCGGATTAGAAATGCAACATGTATTTACGTGTAGCTGTCCTCGAGAGTTGAGTTGATGATGTAGGACTCTGGTTTGCCCACCAGAGATCACAATGTCCTTGTTAATGTGTCTGGTCGTATTAGTGGTTAGTATGGATACTTCAGATGTACCAGCGGTTGTCTGAGAGGGATCGTCCTCTATCTCGTGTCTTGAGTGAAATTCTCTAGACAACTATACATGCCAGCTGCAGACTGAAATGATAAGGTCTAGTTCATTGTCTTCTTCTTCACCTCGTGTAGAGGTTGAGAGTTTCAGAGTTTCTCCATTTCAAACATGTGGACTAACGTCTCACGTTTTCTGGTCTTTCTGGTCTGGTAGAAATTCAACCATTTGCAACGTTTAGCTCACGCTTCACGTCTGCTGGTCTGAGGTGAATTTCATCACAAGGCTTTTTATGCACTCGGGGTAAAAGTGGCGTTCCATCATGTTTGTGCTCATCTGGGCGTGGCCACTGACTGAGAACAAATCAATATGGAAAACAATCATCTCATCTAGAATGCTAAAATCACATTGTTATCTTCACAAAAGTATTATTATACTTAATCATTCGTTTTATACAACCATTAGATGCAAACCCCATAACTGGGAAGTGTACACCCCCAGAGATACAGTTATGTTGTTCCACCGTCTTTAATGACATCACAACATAGTAACGAATTTGACATGATTGTTCTTTAAGTCCCCACCAACCATTTCCCACATTCTTTTAAGTAGTTTTGGATGTTGGAGTTTTGGCAGGAAGACTTCCTTTGTCTCACAGGGATTTTTTTTTAAATTGCTTTCGGACAAGATACCCCCATGGCTATCCAACTCAATGGATTCTCCATTCACCGAGCGGACAGGAGAGTAGAGTCAGGAAATTGAGAGAGGGAGGGGTTTCCCTTCTTATCTACAACAAATGGTTTGCTGACTCAAGCGCAGTGGTAGTCTCGACCCATTGTTCACCCGTCTTGGAATACTTGATGGTCAAATGCCTTTATCAATGGAGCGAGTCACGGGTACTTCTTGTAAACAGGAAGCAGGAGTACGGAGTCATGATCTGATTTTCCAAATGGCGGACGAGGGAGAGCCTTACTTGTGGGAAGAGTAACAATGGTCTAGGACTTTATCGCTGAGGTATCCTGAGGGAGTTTTCAGCTGTTATCGTGACTGTTGTATACATTCCACCTCAGGACAAAAACATATAACACGCTGACACTTAACAAACTGTACTAGGCTATAAACAAGCAGGAAAACTTACATCCGGAGACTGCCTTTCTTGTCTCCAGCGATTTTACTTCCGCATCATTAAGACACGTGATGCCCAACTTCCATCAAAATGTCTCCTTCACCACTAGGGGCGATAAAGTCCTAGACCACTGTTACTCTTCCCACAAGTAAGGCCCTCCCTCGTCCGCCATTCGGAAAATCAGATCATGACTCCGTACTCCTGCTTCCTGTTTACAAGAAGTACCCGTGACTCGCTCCGTTGATCAGAATCAGAGATTATGTTACAGGACTGCTTTACTAGCGTTGATTGGAATATGTTCCAAGACTCCGCCGATAACATCGACAAGCTAACCACCTCCGTCACCGGCTTCATAAGGAAATGCATCGGTGACGTTGTCCCCACAGTGAAGGTTCACTGCTTCCCCAATCAATTAACACTGAGGTTGGTGCTAAGCTAAAGAACAAGGCTACCACACACAGGGCTTTCGCAGACAACCCTGAGGCTATGGCTGACAGGAACAGGAATAAGTACAAGAAGTCCCGCTACGACCTCTGCAGAGTCATCAAACGAGCAAAAGGACAATATAGGAATAAAGTGGAATCATACTACACAGGATCCGACGCCCGCTGCATGTGGCAGGGGCTACAGTCCATTACGGATTACAAAGGAAGACCCAGCCGTGATCTTCCCAACGATGCCTCTCTTCCAGACGAACTCAATGCATTTAATGCCCGCTTCGACAATAACAACAGGCGTACCATGCGTGAGGGCTCCCACCGACCCAGAGGACTGAGTGATCTCGCTCACCGAGGCCGATGTGAGTAAGGTCTTTAATCAGGTCAACACTCACAAGGCCGCGGTGCTGGATGGTATTCCAGGGCGCTTTCTTAGAGCTTGTGCAGATCAGCTTGCAGGCATATTCACTGTAATTTTCAACTTCTCCTTGTCCCAGTCTGTAATCCCCACATGTCTTAAAGATGACTAACATCATTCCTGTTCCCAAGAACTCTAAGGCTTCATGCCACAATGACTACCACCCTGTAGCACTCACATCATCCCAGACGCCCTAGACCCACTCCACACTGCCCTCACCCACCTAGATAAGAGGAATACCTATGTGAGAATGCTGTTAATTGACTACAGCTCAGTGTTCAACACCATTGTCCCCTCCAAACTTAGGACCCTGGGACTGAACACCTCCCTCTGCCTAGTACATCACTGGGGCAGAGCTCCCTGCCATCCAGGACCTCTATATCAGGTGGTTTGAAAGGAAGGGACGGAAATTCATTAAAGACTCTAGCCACCCAAGCCATAGTTCTCTCTGCTTCCTCACGACAAGTGGTACCGTTGCATCAAGTCTGACACCAACAGGCTCCTGAACAGCTTCTATCTCCAAGCCATAAGACTGCTAAATAGCTAACATAATGGCTACACGACTATCTGAGTTTGACCCTTGTATTTTTTCTCTATGCACTCTCACAATACCCTACACACTCACTCACACTGACACTCCAATACACACACAAAATGCACACGTATTTATGCAGAATCTACACACTTTTGACAGCATCTGCATGTCTGGCCCTTAGCTGGGCAATCTGGAGCCCTTGTAGCATGATGGGTAGATCCACAATTTCCAGTGTCATTTCCACACACTCACATACAATCATCATTTACACTGCTTCTGCTCTGTTTATCATATATCTATTACGTTCCTGTGAGTTTATTGTGTGTGTCGTTTGACTCACCATATTGTGATCTTGAAGAACCACCCTACTTTGGCTAAACGTTGTTGTTATACTAGCTCAGGAACGTGACCATGTTAGAGTGATAGCTTAGAAACCCGAGCCGTTTATAAAGAACAACGTTTCATTCTTCCAACACAACATTGGCGCCGAAGATGGCTGATCCTGCACTCGTCATCCCC